CATCAAATAGGCCTCAATGTTCAACCCACCATGCTTATTCAGCACATCAGGGACACTGCTCCCTCTGGTTCTCAAAGAGATCATGCCCATTGTCAAGCGTTTTGCAAAAATCAAAATACAGCATGCAGAGTCATAGAAAGGGTCCTAAAGCAGAGACAGAAGAGCTCAGTTTGAGTCTACATTCCATTACTTAGCTGCGCGATCCTGGGTAAATCCCATTTTCTCTCTGTTTCCTTGTCTGTAAAATGGGCGTGTTATACTTCCCTGCCTATTTCCCAGGACTGTTACGAAAGAAGAGGGGAAATAATATTAAAGAAAAATGCCTTGAAAACCAGGAAGTATTTTCTAGCTATGAGATTGTTTTATAGTGTTTTCATGCTGGAATGGGCTAATAATTCTCTCAGGGAAATCCTTGGGTATGACTTGTTCCCAGGGAACCCACACTGGCTCCCTGGCTTCACTATTTACTTTTTCCTTGCTCACAACTCAGCTGTTGAGCTGGAGGTTGTCATCTAAGTCACTAGCTATAGTCTTTCATCTACAATCTCCCTTTAGATTTCCATTTTAAATTACAGAATCTAAGGGTGAGAAGAGGCTGTACAGGTGAAATCATCTGGATTTCACCCTGGGCCTCTATAATACACCTCCCTCACTGGCCACACAGAATTCCTGCCGCCCCATCGTGGTGGATGTGATTGTCCTGGTGAAGTTTGGCCTAGTGCCAGTGCAGCGTCACAGCCACACCTATGGAAAATGAGGAAAGCCCAGGCTGACAATTCCAACTAAGCTCAAAGAGGTCAGGAATTCACACTAAGGATGATAGACCAGGGCTGCCCACTGCCCCCTCAAGGGGACTCCAGGGCACTGGACTCATGCTGAGACTCAATATTCCAGAAGCCTGGGTAGGTCTGTGGAGGTCGGGGTAGGCCAGAAGGGAGCCATTGCGGCCCTCTTTGGACTGATATCAGAAACGCATGAAAGAGAGGGCTGGTCTATAGAGTTAGTGACTAAGTCCAGCAGTGTCTGGATGTCTGCAAGGACCAGAAACAGATATTGGCAAGGAAATTCTCAGAACCTTTCAAGGAGGACCCAAATGCTGAAATTCAGGCTGGGATGCTACATTCACCAGCTGGAATATCACCAGGAATCCAGGGTCAGAAGCACTTCCTGGTCACACAACAGGCATCTTAGAGATGTACCTCAGCCCAGTGTCTGTGTTCAGGCCACCTTGCCTCCTCTTTACTGAGCCAAACTTCCCCAAAGTTCTCCAGGAGAAAGCCTCTCCCTTGCAGATCTCCAGACTCAGGCATCCTTCGCAGGGCTGCCTTCCCTGAGTGACGGGGCCTGCCTCAGCTGCCACCACTTGAATGGCTCCAGCAGAAGCCTCTCATAAGATTTGACCAAATGTGCTTTAAGGTGATTACAAAAACAACCCACAACATACAAGCCCAGCAAACAGACATCCAGGGAATAACCAAATTGGTGGCTCTCAATAGCTCTGTCCTCTCATTGCAGCCTGGGTCCCTGAATCCTCCCAGAACTAGGATGTATTCTTCTGTTTTCATACTCCTATAAAGAACTGCCTGAGACTGGGTAATTGACAAAGGAAAGAGGTTTAGTTGACTCACAGCTCAGCATGGCTGGGGAGGCCTCAGGAAACTTACAATTATGCCAGAAGGTGAAGGGGAAGCAAGGCACCTTCTTCACAAGGCAGCAGGGAGGAGAAATGCCGAGCAAAGTGGGAAGAACCCCTTATAAAACCATCCGATCTCTTGAGAATTCACTATCATGAGAACAGCACAGGGGAAACCACGCCCATGATCCAATTACCTCCACCTGGTCTCTCCCTTCACACATGGGGATTATGGGAATTGTGGGGATTGTAGTTCAAGATGAGATTTGGGTGGGGACACGAAGCCTAACCATATCATAGGATAAATGGTAAAACTAGCCTGCTTATTACAGCCATATAGCATAAAATTTATGGGCCCTGTTGCTGGGTCAGACTGCCTGGGTCCACAGGCCAATTCCTCCAGTCACTGGTTGTATGAAAGTGGGAAAGTTAATATCTCTGTGCCTCTGTTTCCTCATCTATAATATGGAGAACATAACAATACTAGGGTTATTGTGAGGATTAAATGGAGTCGATAAATGCAATGTGCTTAGGACAGCAGCCGGCCTAAGGTAGGCTCATGAAGGCGCTGGCTGTTCTTATTATACAAGAGTCTTGGCAATGCCTTGGAGTGCAGTTTGGTTCTCCTGTTTTTATTGGGCCAAGCTTGACTATGTCTAGACCACGCTTTGCTGGTGTTACATTCTGAGTGTTCCTACTTACAAGATCGCATGGGATACAGCTACAGAAACTGTGTTTGGCACAGCCATGATTCCTGCTCCCAGGGAGGTCCCAGCCCAAAGAAAAACAAAACTGCCTCCTCTCATATTTATCTGAAGAACCAGAGTAAGCATGTATCATTATTTGTTTTACAGTCGAGTTGAGTCAGAGAAGAGAATACACATATATTTATTCTGAAAAAGGAACAGACTTCATTGAAGAGTCCACCAGAGCCAGTAAAAAAGACTGATGCGTTAGGTATTTGGAAGAAGAAAAGAAAGGAAGCTGGAGATTAAGGGCAGCAAGAGGCATTTTAATGTTCCTGGTAACTGATTTATAAATTCCGTGTTAAGGCTCTGCTCATTTGATTCTTTGCCGTGAATATAGCATCTCCATTTTTCCATTTTATAGTCTTGGCGGGAAATGGCCTTTTTCGGAGCTGCCACTTAAAGCACTTAACTGTGCCGCGGGGCATCTTGGGACAAGGCTGATGATAAGAGCCTGTTGTTGGCCCCAGGGGAAGAGCTGTCCCCAGTGCAGTATGGGCTTAGCCAGGCCCCTCCTTCTCTCGATGGGCTCCAGCCCCTTCTCCTCCCCTGCTCTTCCCTCCCTGCCCCTCCACCTCTTCAGAGCTTACCTGCACTCTGAGAGTCTGGAAACTGCTCCTGCAAACCCCCAGCTCTTGGCTTCTTCCCTGAATAACCAGAATTTCATTCCCATCTTTGGGAAACAGCATTTCAGGCTGCTTAGGTTATGATTTACAGCAGGATAAACCCAAGCCAATGACAAATTTTGGAGGGTTTTTCATTGATCATTTCTTCTGTTGCTCTTTTAGCCTGAGTGATGGCAAATGAATAGTTCTCCAGGATCCTTTTCTACAAGCAGCGCCACTCTAAGCACACTTCTCCTCGGAATGGAGAGTAGAAGTTCAACTTCGAGGTCAGACAGACCTGGCTCCAACACTCACTCACAGATGGGAGCTGCTCCAAGACTCAGCGTCCTCACCGGTAAGATGGGGACATGATTAACACCTGCCTCAAAAAGCTCTGCTGTTATTCAATAACTTATTGCAAGGAAGGCGAGGCTGGCAAGCCAGCTGTTACCATCATGGCTCACCTGGCTGAGTCCATACAGGGCACATTAGCCCAAGCCCTTGGCAGAAACCCAGGTATCAGATCTGTAGCTCAGCATGGCTCCTGGTCAGGGTAGCAAGAGCCCCTGGGGGGGTCCACCCACGTTGTGCTGGGCACTGGGTCAGTGACTGACCCCAGGCTGAGCAAACAAAGGGCCTGCTTCTCCCACCCGAAGGCCAGCTAGTAAAGCAGGAAGCACACGGATATATGAGCCAAAAAGACCCCGGCTCTTATTAAAAACAAAAATAAATATAATAAAATCAAAATTAGAGAGTTGTCTTGGTGTGGTAGCCTGTAATCTCAGCATTTTTGGAGGCTGAGGCAGGAGAATTGCTCGAGTCCAGGAGTTCAAGACTACCCTGGCCAACATAGCAAGACCCCATCTCTACTTTTGAAAAAATGAAAAATAAAATAAAAGCCAGTCTCAGCATTTCAGCATTACTTTTACCCCTCCCTTCCCCTTTCATTTCCTCTTTTCTCCCTTCCCCCTTCCCCTCCTACCTCTCTCCTCCACTCTCACTCCCCTCAGTGCCCCAGCAGTAAAAGGGTCATAATATTATTGGGGTCATCAAATAAGATAATGGATATAAAGGGACTCCATCAACTCTAAAGCACTTTACGAATATTCACTTTGATGGAAGAGTCCTCTGGGGATTTCTATGGTAGGGGGAGCCTGGTTGGCACTAAACAAGAAGAGAAAACCTCTCTCTTTCCACTCTTGAAATGACAGCACTAGGGCCTCATCATATCAGAAAACAAAACCCAGGCTGGGAGGTGAGAACCAAATCCCAGTCACCACGGCAATTGGGCTGGTCAGCTGAGGTCACCCTGTCCTTTCACATTGGAATAAGATTGGCCCAAGCACTGAATCCTAAGATGTCTCTGAGTTCTCAGGGGCTCAAAATCTGGGAATCAATTTGAAGCATTGTAGCTTCAAATTCTGGCTGGTGCTCATCTCAAAAGTAACAGCTAACATTTATGAAGCTGTTCAGAGTGCTTTGTGCATATTAGACCATCCACTCCTCACAGCCCCCTGGGAGGTAGAAATTGTTAGCCCCATTTTACAGATGATGGGAATGGGGCACAGAGAGGCTAAGTAACTTGCCCAACAACACAGAGCTAGGACACTAACTATGGAAGTCAGGCACTAGCGCCCAAGCTCCTAACCTCCAGTGCCTCTATCTCATCAGAATTTTGTTTTTTTTATTTTTTGAGACAGTTTCACTCTTGTCACTCAGGCTAGAGTGCAATGGTGTGATCTCGGCTCACTGCAACCTCCGCCTCCTGGGTTCAAGCGATTCTCCTGCCTCAGCCTCCTGAGTAGCTGGAATTACAGGCACCCGCCACCACGCCTGGCTAATTTTGTATTTTTAGTAGAGATGGAGTTTTACCATGTTGGCCAGGCTGGTCTTGAACTCCTAACCCTAGGTGATCCGCCCACCTCAGCCTCCCAAAGTGCTGGGATTACAGGTGTGAGGCACCACGCCCAGCCTCATCACATTTTAACTTCCGTGTGCTACTCCACTCCAGCCTGGGGAACAGAGCGAGACTAGGTCTCAAAAATAATAATAATAATAAAAGATAGAAGCAACTCAACTGTCCATCTTTGTCCAATGAACGGATAAAGAAAATGTGATTTATACATATAATGGGCTATTATTGGATGGGATTAATTACTTAATACTAATGGAATATTATTCACCCTCCATTCAGTGTGCCTCCTCTCACTTTATTATGCCAATCATTCAGTCCTAGCCCCATCAGGATCCAGCGCTTGCCCTTCCAGGCCAAAGAGGCAAAAAAGTGGCATGACTGTGGTCTCTGCAGGCATCCTCCATCAACACAGATCCTGGCCTCAAGATTTCATTCTTCCCCTTCTCCCTCCCTGACCTGTCTTGTAAGTGGAAGATAGGATTTATTTTCCCACTGAGGTAGACTGTGCCAACCCCATCAGAGGTTCCTACAGTGAGATTTGGTGCAAAATGACACATTTTTTCAACCCTTTTTCACAAGATACCATGTCTGTCTACAAAACTGTCTCTGGACTGGGGCAAAATGCATTAAATCAGTGGGGTGTGAGAAAATCAGTAAATAGTGTGGGAGGAAAATATTCGAACATTTATATTTCTATATAAAAATAAGAAATTAAACTATGAGTGTCTGGACGGAGAGAGGAGGGAAACAAAGAACAAAAGGGACTAAGACGGCGTATTTCCGGGTTCTTCATCACCAACTTTCCCGCGCCCGGGAAAAGACACAGGTCAACTGCGCAGGTGCAACCTGACGACCCACCGAGGAAACCGAAACCTACCTGGCCGCGCCTACCACACGGCCCCCAGCCCGCCCATGTCCGGCCTACTGCCCTTCCACGCCCAGGCCCAAGACATAAAGCGGCTCCGGGCAGACACGCGGCGCGAACTTCCTCGGCCTCTCCTCATATGCGGACCCAGGAACTTCCCCCGAGAAACGCCGGAGCGACTTCCTCGGCCTCCGCCGCCGGAGACCGGTGAACTTCGCCCTTTCTTCTTTCACATTGGCTAGCTAATAAAGTTTCTTTTTACTTTGCCTACTTGCCTTTTCTCTGGCGCCCGCTCTGGTGGCCGCACAAAACAAATCAGGTGGTGCCGAACCCGGGAGGAGACCCCTCCTCAGGGCCCCCCCAAGGTCCGAGGAGCCTCCTCCTTCCACGTCGCGGACGGACCAGGACCTAGACATCGCTTTCCACACCTCCATGTCACCTGGGGGTGAGTACCTCTTGCGTCCCTCTCATACTCCTTGGCCAGAAGTCCTGCGCAGGCCCAAGGCTTTTTTGGACACCAGGTGACCCACAGGAGAGTTCCCAAAGGTAGAGACGTCTACCCAAAGGAACTCCATTCCAGTCCGCGTGAGACCCGTCCAGGACGGAGACGTCCACCTGGACGTAGTCTCCTTTCCGGCTCCAGGAGCCTCCCGGCGGCCTCTAGCGGCTCCAAAGGACGCTTTGTAGCCAGGTAGAGTTCGGTTTCCGTTTCCGCCTAGAGGCGAGAGGAAGGCAATGGGAAACCCCCAATCCAAAATACCTAGAGACTCCCCTCTAGGGTGTCTTCTAACTAATCTCGAAACTTTACAATTAGAGCAAGATCTTAAACGAAAGCGACTGGTTTTCCTCTCCACTGTGGCATGGCCCCAATATAAATTAAACAATCTCAGTGGCCACCTGAAGGCACTCTAGACCGCAATATTCTACTCGATCTTGGCAGTTTCTGCTGGCACCTAGGCAAGTAGCCCAAAATTAACTATATACAAAAGATTTTTTTTTCCTCTTAAGACCTGCGTTCTCGCCCAGACCTGTGTGCCCAGTGTTCGATGGCCCAGGTCTTGTTAGCCACAACCCGGCCCTCGGCCCCCACCTCAACATCAGAGGAAGACTCCACCTCCATTTTAGATGGGGCTGACGGGGGCACCTCCCTTCCGACCGTCCAACCCCCCTCCCTATGGACTTCCCACCGCCCCGCCCGACAGGCCTCCCTCAGCCACTCCTCTCACCTCTCCCATTTCCGTCCACACTCGCTCCAAGACCGTGGTAGCAGCCCCCATTAGTCAGCCCTCTACCAGTCAGCCTGCCCCAATCCCCTCTACCAGTCAGCCTGTCTTAACCTACCCTACTGGTCAGTCTGTTCCAACCTCCCCTGCTAGTTTGTTGCCCCCGCCCCCACAGAGAAGTTGCGGGAGCCGAAGGCGTGGTTAGAGTCCACGGCCCCTTGACCTTTCCAAAATTGAAGAATGACTCGGCGACTTCTCAGCCAACCCCACCTAATATTCCAAAGAATATTAGTAATAATATTCCAAATATTCGATACCTAGGCCAGGCATATGACCTTGCCTGGCATGACTTACATGTCATTCTTACTTCCACTCTTAACCCAGAGGAAAGAGAGTGCATTCTTGCAGCCGCCAGGCAACATGCAGATCAATGGCATTTAACCGACGCCACCGTCCCGTTAGGAGAGATGGCTGTCCCGTCCTTAGAACCAGATTGGGATTACCAACCGCAGCAGCCTGGCCGCCGTAGGAAGGACATTACGATTCAATGTCTCTTAGCCGGTATGCAGGCAACCTCTAACAAAGTGGTCAAATTTTAATAAGTTAAAGGAAATTATCCAACACCCAGATGAGAACCCAGCTTCCCTCCTAAATCGCCTTACAGAGGCACTGGCCCAATTTACCTGGCTAGACCCCACTTCCCCAGCCAGGGCAGCCATCCTAGCCTCCTATTTTATTTACCAGTCAGCTTCAGATATTCAAAAAAAGCTAAAAAAGGTTGAAGATGGGCCTCAGACTCCCATACAGGAAAATTGGCCTTCAAAGTTTTAACTCCAGAGAGGAAGCAGCTGAGGCCGCAGAGCTAGACAAGGAGAAAAGAAGGGCTGCGCTTCAGGCGCAAGCTTTAGTGGCTGCCCTCCAACCCGTGTTGCCCACTTTGCCGGCAGGGAAAACCAAAGATAAGTCTCTGAAGGGCTCCTGCTATAAATGCGGAGACCCAGGACACTGGGCAAACCAGTGCCCCCAGGCCAAGCCGGCCACTCCGTCTGGTCCATGCTTTAAGTGTGGCACAACTGGGCATTGGGCAAAAAGGTGTCCAAATCCTCGCCCGCCTACCACGCCGTGCCCAACCTGCCAACAGGAGAAACATTGGAAGTCTGATTGCCCCGCCAGCAGGGCAGGCATTGCGCCTCAACGTGTTGCCTCTCCTCAAAGGCCAGAAGGCTCCTTCCAGCTCCTACACCTGGACGACGACTGACGGTGCCCACACTCGGAGACCCCGGTCACCCTCGCTGAGCCTAGGGTAACTCTACAGATAGCGGGTAAGCCAATTTATTTTCTCATCAATACGGAGGCTACCTATTCTGTTTTGTCAACCTATGGAGGTCCTAGTCAGCCATCCACTATCTCAGTATTTGGGCTAGACGGTAAACCGTCTAACCCTCGCCAGACCCCAATGTTAAATTACTGCCTGGACTATGCATGCTTTGCCCACTCTTTCCTCCTCATGCCCTCTTGTCCCACCCCCTTCTTGGGATGAGACATCTTAACCTAACTCAGAACATCTATTCCCCTTCCCTTTCTCCAGGTGACCAGGTTCTGCCCAAAGATCAACACCCTCCTCAAATTTTCCCACTTCCTCACTATTCTTCATCTTAACTGACTTTTCCCTCATAAACCCCATAGACACCCTCCTTCCCGACCCATCCCCCAACCAGTAGGTTTCCCGACTTTTTACTCTCATAGAAGACCTAGCTTGGCAGGGTGCCCTTTGTGATTTCAGCAATGTTGAACTTACCCTCTACACCTTTGTCATCATTATTATGGCTCACTCTAATTCCCCTAGTTACTCCTACTAATCCTAACTTTGTATGGAGATTCCTATAACTGAAACCTGGTCTACAGACAACCAGATACACTCAGTCATGCAGGGCACTGCAGATTATGCCCCACCCCCAGGGTTGTCACTCTGCCCTCTCCACTCAGGTCCAGGCAGCCATAGAGGCTTCAGCTGAAAGCTTAGCCTCTTTACAACGTCAGATCACCTCAGTGGCACAGGTAGCAACACAAAATAGACAGGCATTAGATCTTACAGCTGAAAAAGGAGGGACATGCCTTTTCTTAGGAGAAGAATGCTGCTATTACATAAACGAGTCAGGTCTAGTTGACACCAACATCCAAACCCTAAACAGGCTTAAAACAGAACTCAAAAACTACAACACTCCCTTAACCCCTGGTCCACCTATATGGTTATTACCAGTAATACAACAAATGCTCCCATTCCTCATTCCTATCTTAATCCTATGTCTTATACTGTGCTTTACTCCCATTTTAATAAAATTTCTCCGAGCCAAAGTGCAAGAGATCACCCGCGTTGCCTTCAGCCAGATGCTCCTACATCCCTATGTCCAGATACAAACCACAGACCCTAACTACGCCCCTTAACAGCAGGAAGCAGCCAGACAGACAACGACGCCCCCAATCACTATAATCAATAAAAGGTTGGACTGTCTGGACGGAGGGAGGAGGGAAACAAAGAACAAAAGGGACTAAGATGGCATATTTCCAGGTTCTTCATCACCAACTTTCCCGCGCCCGGGAAAAGACACAGGTCAACTGCGCAGGTGCAACCTGACGACCCACCGAGGAAACCGAAACCTACCTGGCCGCGCCTACCACACGGCCCCCAACCCGCCCATGTCCGGCCTACTGCCCTCCCACTCCCAAGCCCAAGACAAAGCCACTCCGGCAGACACACGGCGCGAACTTCCTCGGCCCCTCCTCATATGCGGACCCAGGAACTTCGCCCGAGAACCCCGGAGCGACTTCCTCGGCCTCCACCGCTGGAGACCGGTGAACTTCGCCCTTTCTTCTTTCACATTGGCTAGCTAATAAAGTTTCTTTTTACTTTGCCTACTTGCCTTTTCTCTGGCGCCTGCTGTGGTGGTCGCACAAAACAAATCAATGTGTTAAATATCAACATACAGTTCAGGAATGTACTAATATTCTGCAGATTGGTAATAGTATGACTTATAAATAAATGTGCCTGTCTGAAGACAGGGTGCTCAAAAATTATAAGCATTCTCTGGGAGGGGAGAGGGATTGCACTGGGAGTTATACCTGATGTAAATGACGAGTTGATGGGTGCTGACGAGTTGATGGGTGCAGCACAGCAACATGGCACAAGTATACATATGTAACAAACCTGCACGTTATGCACATGTACCCTAGAACTTAAAGTATAATAATAAAAAATTAAAAATTAAAAAAATTATAAGCATTCGCTCATACAAAGGTAAGTAAGCAACTAAAACGCTTGGTGACCATGGAACCAGGTAACAGTATGGTTAGGTGACCATCAAGCTGGCAAACAGGTAATCTCAGAGAGAACTGAACAACCAGAAACCCAGTCTTTAGTGATCTGCCACAGAACTCTACCTGCTGCCCTGAGCTGTTTGCATAAGCTAATATTTTGGAGAATAGAAAAGTAAAATAGGTATTGCATTATTCTAAATTTTCTGTTTTCTTTCTTTTTTCTTTCTTTTTTTTTTTTTTTTCTTTTGAGACAGGGTCTTGCTCTGTCACCCAGGCTGGAATACAGTGGTGCAATCTCAGCTCACTGCAACCTTCACCTCCTGAGCTCAAAAAGATCCTCCCATCTCAGCTTTCTGAGTAGCTGGAACTACAGGCACATGCCGCCATGCCCAGCTACGTGTTTTATTTTTTTGTAGTGACAGGGTCTCCCTGTGTCGCCCAGGCCAATCTCGAACTCCTTGGCTCAAGTGATCCTCCTACCTCAGCCCCCCAAAGTCCTAGAATTACAGGCATGAGCCACCATGCATGGCCTACCCTATGTTTTCTTGTCACATAATAACATTATATAATTGTCTATATATTCCAAAATATCTGAGTTCTCTATTTTCTGCTGCACACAACTGAAACACCCTCTCCTTTTGAAAAAGAGTAAACAAAAACATTCCAAAATACTAAGTGCTTATATTTAAATGGTAACTATGTGAGAAATTTCTCTTCTTTTCTCTATTTTTCATATTTTCAGTATGCGGATATATTATTTTTACAAAGAGCAAACGCAGGTATTTCGTTTTTCAGCATTTTTCCCGCCCTAAGCAAGTTGTGTTTTCATATACTCTGCTAAGAATCACGCAGGAAACTGAGGCCCACAGGCCTTTATTTTTAAGGATATCAGCAAAAGAGGGCCAGGTGCAGTGGCTCACGCGTGTAATCCCAACACTTTGGGAGGCTGAGGTGGGAGGATCACTTAAGCCTGGGAGTTCAAGACCAACCTGGGCAACATAATGAGAATCCATTGCTACAAAAAATCAAAAAAATTAGCCAGGCCTGGTGGCACATGCCTGTGATCCCAGCTACTCTGGAGGCTGAGGTAGGAAGATCTCTTGAGCCCAGGAGGTAGAGGCTGCAGTGACTGCACCACTGTACTCCAGCCTGGGTAACAGAGCAAGACCCTGTCTCAAAAAAAATAAGAAGAAAGAATATTGGCAGAAGTGGACAGTATGCCACTGGTTTGAGATGTTTCCTTCACATTCCAAAGAAAATATCAGTGACAACATTTCATGTTTGACTTGCACTCTGCAATCTGCACCCACCATCCCCCACAATAAAAGCGGTTTGGGACTCAGCTTGTCCAGCCCTGCCTGTCTGGGATATGGTGAAGGTGGTTAGGATTGTGGCTGTGCAGGCCACGCCATGAGGTTCAAATCCTGAGACCTGGCCAAGCCACGTAACTCCGTGCCTCTGTTTTACCACCTGTAATGGGGTATAATGATAATGGTGCTTGGTTCTCAGGGTGTTCGAGGGTGGAATGAGTTAATCCAGGCAAAGTGTTTAGAGCACTTCCTGTACTTGGTACATCTACCGAGTACATTACCACTGTAATGTTTGTTTCCCATGAATCCCACACAGCTCACTCCCCCTTGTCATTAGTTCAAATGTGCCCTCCTCTGAGAAGCCTTCCCCGACCATCCCATCCAACCCCCAACCCCACTGTACCCTGCCACCCTCTGGCCCCTACCCTGCTTGATTTTTCTTCGTTGCCCTTATGAGGTGTCCCTTGCTAAAGTGTAAGCCCCATGAGGGCAGGGACTTGATCTTCCCCATATTCTGAATAATCCCCAGTGCTTAGAACAGCACCTGGCCCATAGCAGCCACTCAGTAAATGTCTGCTTGAATGAAGGAGTACATTCCATCTCTGTGCTCACGTGAAACCTAATTTATAGGGAAGGAAACAGACACAGAGAGGTAAAGCAAAGTGTCTAGGGCACACAGCCAAGGAGTGACCCAGTGCAGCCTTGAAGCCAGGTCTTCTGACTCCAGGAGGACTCACTTTTCCCAATTAGCGCTTGAGTCTCTCTGCCTGACTCACTCACTCTTCCCTGGTCTTGGAACACTGTCTTCTCTGTGCTCCTAGCTCTGGCCACACTGAACACCCGGCAGTGTCTCAATCCTATGACACCTCACTCACCTCCAGATCTTACCCACGCCATCTCCTCATCTGGAGCCCTCACCCTGCTCCTCTTCACCTGGATACCAACTTCTAGTCATCCTGTGAATCTCAGCCTCTCCGAAGGCCCCTTCTTCCAGGAAGTCTGCCTGATTGACGGCCAGGCAGCTGCCCCTCCTCTGTGTTCCCACAGACCACATGTCAATCTGTGTTTAATCTTCTCTTTACCTGCACTGCACCCCCATGTTCTAAGCTCCATAAGGACAGAGAGAGACATTTAACTCACAAAACACCCCTGAGCGATGGATATCATTACCCCCATTGTGGGAGGCTCAGTTTATCAGGCTCAGCCTGGGCTTTGGGTTCAAGCTAGTCTTACTCTAGAGCCATGAGGGGTCCCTCACTCATGCCATGCAGAGGCCCAGCTGCCCACTTGTTGTCTGCAGTCTTCACCCTCCACTGGGCACCCAGCAGGGGGGTGCTGGTGTGGGTCCTTCAGAACCACCCATCCTCTTGTCTGAGGTCTCTCTTCTGCAGACCCCATGACTTGGGCCATACCTCCTCTGACTGACCCCGTGGGACCTCCGCCTCAGCCCCCGGGCTTCCAGTGCATCACTCTACCCTTAGTGCAGGGTCTCTCTCAGGACCACCCAGTCAGGCTTCCTCCCCAGGGTCAGACCAGGCCCACGAAATCCACACTCTGCATCCCTGAACGCTGCAAGTACAGGTCAGAACATCAGCCCCTCACCCTGACATTCAGGCCCTTGCACACCTTTTCCTTCTTCCTCTTCTTTTCTACTCAAGCCTCAGCAAAATGAGAACAGGTCACAGCTACTAAGCATTTTTGGCACACCAGGCACTGCTCTGGCCTCCTTACGCATTTCAACCCATCAACTCTTCACAATACCCTGTGAGGGAGTTACAGCTTCTCTCCCCATTTTATAGATGGTCGCATAGCAAGGAAGGGGCAAGGCTGGGATTTGAACCCAGAGCCCAGAGGCTTATCTTCTGTACTACACGACCTACCTGGTGAAGCCCAACTATACTGCACCCTCGCCCACCTGCCCCCATCTGATGATGCTGTTCCTTCCGTCAGAATCTTGCCTCTTTGTCCTCCTCACCTGGCTGGTTCCTCCTTGTCCTTCCAGGTTAAGTTCCTTCATGCTCCTTGACAAAGCTCCCCCTTCCTGCTCAGTACCCCACATCCTTTCTACAGGTCTCTGGAATATCCCCTGTAGATTGCAAACTCCTTGAGGGCAGGGAAGGTGCCCTCTGACATGGACTCTGCACCCCCAGCTCCTGAAGCCAGGCCTGGAAGGCAAGAGGTGCTCAGTAAATATTTAGTGAACGAGCCACTAAGTGAATGAGGAAAAGCGCCCGACTCTTGATTTTCCAATTTGGAAAGCTTGCTGCTCTCCAGGACAAAGACTTCACATCACTCATGGATATAAATGGACAGTTTCAAAGGCTTAATCCTTCCACATTTACTGCAAACCCATACACACATGGAAATAAATAAGTTTCTTTTTTAGGAGGAAAAAGAAAGCTTTTTCATGGCATCATAAAAACAACGGTTTATTTTTCATCTCCCAGAGTCTGTCTGGGTTTAGTTATGCTCCAGAGCCTGCGAAAGACTCTGAGCGAACACTGACTTGAAAAATCACCGTCTCCACGGCTGCCCGAGGCGCGTGGAAGGAGCAGAAATTTCTCTGTGGGTCCATCTGTGTGTGTCCAAGGGTTATCAATCACCCTCAGAATGGGGCCTGTGTGGGTGGGGTGACTCTGTCATCCACAGCAAATGGCAAACAGATTTGGTGAAAGAGAAGACATGTAAGCAGGGGAGCTGGAAACGATGGAGAGGAAAAGAACACGCATACATTTTCAAGATGCTTAAACCTATTAGGACCCAAGGAGTTCCAATGCCCTTGATATTGGGCAGTTACAAGTCTATGCTGTCTTTTCCTGGGTCCATCAATAACCACCAAACTCAGATGGAGATTCTACTTGCATTCATTCGTGCATGCATGCATTCATTCTGAGATGGGCATTAACACTGCCCCCATAATACTTGCCCCCTCTGCCTGCTGGGCACACCTCGGGTGAATATACTAGCCCCCTGTGCGTTCGGCTGGGGATCTAGAATAACTAGACTAACTCTGGCCAGTGACTAACTCCGGCCAATGAATTTGAGTGGAAATGATGAACGTCACTTCTGGGTTGGCACATTGAATTGCCAGTGTGAGACCCTCCGGAGACCCATCCATATTGGAGTTGGTGGCCGCTCTGCTGGCCTGGACTCGGAGTGAAGAGACAAGGAGCGGCAGCACCAGCCACTAGGACGGATGTGGCATGAGTGAGAAAAAGTTGTGTCGCTGTAAGACAACAAAAGATCTGGGTTTTGTTGTTGCTTGTTCTGCAGCTTAATCTGGCCTA